CGAATCCTCGCTGGGAGCTTGGTGGTGTGCTTCTGTCCCTCTCAGGAAGCCAGTCCCAGCAGTACAGCATGAACAGAGACTGGTTTAGGAGTAGCATAAATCCAAAAGGGCTTACGACTCCCCTTTCACCTGGGTGATGGTTAGAGGCAAGTTCCTACTCCCCACAAAGGGTGCTCTAGCACCATTTTCAGACAATCCCTGCACTACAGTCTGAAGAACTTACACCAGCCCCTTCTTCCATGGTCTGCGCTGGATGCAAAGCAACCTGTGTGAACTCTGAGCCCTGGTCTTTGTCCCAGCTAGTTCCTGATTGCATCTCTTGTATACAGACAGGAGAATGCTGGACACTTTCCTGGAGAAGATGACAAGGGGCAGAGATGGTGCATTGGTCAATAACTGAGCTGCAGAACTCTCTGGTGCAGGATGACAGATGTCTGTGCATGTTCAAGAGGAGAATGGGACTGGTTTTCAGTGGAGAAACCAGGGGGAAATTTTAAACACACAGAAACTGTGCAATTTAAGGGAATAGGATTTTTGCCCTGTTCTGATTGACTTTCTGAAGCGCCCACTAGCCACCACTGTCAGAGGGAGGAAGTGGCCTGCAAGCTGGCCCTGGGTGTCTGCTCTGAACTTCCCCCTGTTCTTGCCTGGGTTGAAGGGAAAATATGTCACCTTTTCCTTCAGCACCCATCCCACCCTGGAGAAACTGAGAAGGGTCCACAGCTTGGGCTTCTGCTAACAGCTGCTATCAGCTAAGAAATCTGCAAGTGAAAAGGCTGAAATTGCTTATCTGTGTAGTACAAATCTTCGTCTCACATCAGGGTTTTCCTTGAAGCTCCAGCTGCTGCAGTCTTTGCACGAGAATGTCAGCTTTCAGCTTGAAAATGGGGTTTGCCCTGTGGCACTGCGGGCAGATGGGAAAGCAAATTTACTGGCAGACAGTGAGGGCAGCAAAGACGTATCAGCCCCATTTTGTCATAGCCAGGGAAGGAACCGCTGCTGGGGTGAGCACATGGACAGGCTCATCTTCCATCTCTCGCTGGAGCCTGTGCGCTGGTGCCAGGCAAGGGGACATCCTGGGTGGGGACTATCTTCAGTGGCTTGCTACCAGCCATTCCTCCAGCATGGTCCCACTCACCAAGGGCTGGAGGAAGAGACAGCTGCTGCAGGGTCTGGTCCAGGGATGACAGATCTCTGCCACACACTGCAGAAGGGCACCTGGCACTTGTTTGGCATTTAAAAATCACTGATTGCCAGGGTGGGGGTGGCTTGGATATGAGTCTTCCCAGAGGAACAAGACCAACTTCAGGGAGACATGTCATTGGGTTATCTCTAGCCAGTGAAGGGTCAGAATCCCAAACCTTCACCCCTGTCTTCTTCCACCCTCAACAAATCAGAGCGAAAGTGAGCCCCTGACCCAGGGGCAAGGAAGTGTTCTCCTGTCTTCTCTCACATTGGCTGGTAAGAGACAGCAAGCTTCCCAGTTTAATGTTGAACAACAGTTATATCTGGTGAAAAAAAAAACACATTATATGGTATCTTTTGCTGTCCAAAGCAAGGCCTAAGTCAGCAGCTGGTGCAGAACAGAGACCTCGTGGCAGCAGCAGTCCTGCTACTGTGCACCACGCTCACGAAGCCACCACAACTTCTTGTCCTCACATAGGCACGACCAGTGTGGTGTTATAAATGCATTCACACCAGTTTTGCTCTATTAGCCAGGACCACACTTAATGAGAAAGAGAAGAAGGGTCCTCAACTGTCATTGCACAGTCTTTGGAACTGCTACATCGAGTGAAAGAAATCTTGTTCTTGCAGGGCTCGTGATAAAAATCAAGAGAGTTGGCAAGTGCGCTACAAATACGAGCTGCAAGGGAAGAGCACACTGGCAGGCAAAGTGGTGAGGGTGGGTATGCTCCCTCCAGCTTCCATCTCAAAGGCAATGAGTTAAAATTGGCTTTGGATTTCGAAGGGTATCAGATACCCTAGATCAGGCCCAAGATGAAGGTGGGTTGACACCCAAGGCTAAGGCTGACTGAATTCCCCCCTCAGATTGCTGAGGCATGCAATTTGCAGATAGATTAATCAGATGAGTCTGACTTCTGTGGTTTCCTGGAGTCTAGTCTCAGGCTATAAAGCCTTGCTGGGAGCAGGACGAGACCCCAGCTGCAGCCTCACCTCCAAGGGATCCACTGAAGCTGAGAACTATGATGAAGCACCTGCAGAAACTTCTGCTCTCCCTCCTGCTGGTGACATGGGCCTCAGCTAAAGACAGTAAGTAGAGTGGCCTGGAGGCGAGGAGAGGGCTGGAGAAGGAAAAGTCCCAGTGCATCCTGTGCCCTGTGTCCTCCCAACCCCTCATCCTCCATCCCATCCATTGCAGATTATTTCCTGCATCAGACGAAGAGAGGAGGTGAAGGCAAGACCCACCCCATACCCTACGTGGCCTATCTGCAAGGAAAGAACAATGGTTTCTGTGGAGGCTTCCTAGTGGCCCCGAACTGGGTGATGACAGCGGCTCAGTGCTTCAGGTAAGTTTTTGTTATGTCTGTATAGCACCTGGCACAACAAAATTGTCGCACTGCTGTGATCTGGGAAACACCTAGGTGAAGGTCAAACAGTTTGAATCACATCCTTCACAGCTGTGGCCAAGCTCTTTCCCTAGCAAGGAGTGCACTGCTGGGACAGGGCTAGCACCTAAACAGCAGAGGTGTGTCTGCAGCTCTCCCTTGAGCCATCCTTCCCCATGACCATATCCAGCCCATGTTCAGATACTTACCTTTTATTGCTTTATTGTCCCTCCGTGATTAATTTTATTCTTCCTAGACTTTAACAATGACAAGTCAGATTGGCTTCTTCCCTTGTTGTCACTGACCTACTGGCATAGCAGGGATTGCTGGTGTCAAGTTTTGCCCTTTCTGCCACCAGACCTCCAAGACTGTTATCACAATTTGTAATCTCTTACAAGCAAGCTGCTTGCCCAGCTCTCTTCCAGACCTTCAGCTGGAGAAACTAGGACATGGGCAGGCAAGAGGGATTTTCTAGATGTGCATGACTCTGTGTAGCTACTACAGTCCTCAAGCCTGACAGCTCTGCCCCAGTGCCAGTAAACCACACTCAGGAGCACTCCCTACATCTGAGCAGCAGAAAAGGAGCAGAACCCAGGAGCCCAAATGCTCAAGTCCTATCTGCTAGATTGAGACAGACTCCTATCCACACCCAGAGTCCCTCCCAATTTTCCTAAGGCAGCCCTTTCTGTGGATGGTGTAGAGGCCAGTCCCCGTCCATCGTGCCATGGACTTCCATGAGCTTAGGAAGCCTGGACTAACAGTCTATATATCTTAGTATGCAGCAGCAACATTGGACCAAATACACTCAGATTGAGGTCCAGAGGTAAAGTAACCTTTGCAGAGCTCAAATCTGTCAGACAGGAGCTTGCTCTGCCTCTTGGCTGGGTAGGCACACTGGCAGAGCTCCTTGCTCTTACAGATCTTCTTTAAAGCCCAGCTGGTCTCTCCTGGTGATGGACCTGAGAGATGTCCCTGAGAGATGTCCCTCACTGTTACCAGAGAAGACAGGAGGAAGCTAATGATATACACTATGCTTGGGTTTACCAGACACAAACCTCTGACTGTCATCCTTGGAGCCCACACAATACAGAGGAAAGAGGAAAGCTGGCAAACGTTTGAAGTCCAAGAGTATCACCGCCATCCAGACTACATGGATCCTAAGAATGGAAATGACATCCTCTTGCTGAAGGTAACTACCTGCCTGGAGCACCTGCATGGTCCCATCTGCCTGACGTGTAGGGTTGAGCTGTAACCCTGGAGCAGGAGGGGACAGCCTTCGCCACAGCATTTGCAGACCAATCACTTATTTCTGTATTTTCTGTCCCCTTGCCCAGCTGAAAGGCAATGCCACCAGCAACAGCTACGTTAGGACCATTTCCTTTCAAACATCAAAAGTCCCTGATGGGACTGCATGCAGCATAGCTGGCTGGGGCTACAAAACACCCACTGCCACATTACGCAAAGGCACCGTCACCATCATCAAACAAAGGGACTGCCTCAGCGTTTACCCTACACTTGCTGACAAGATGATTTGTGGCCACAGTGTATCTGCCTGGGTACCTGAAAAGGTCAGTCTCTGACTTCGGAAGTAGAAGGCTCTGGGGGAGGTTTCAGCCAGGTGCTGGGCACAAACCTGATCTGGGCTAAAAAAAATACACTGAAAAAGTACTATCTAAAATTGCTTCTTGCTGTCCCCTAACCCTCCCCCCACCACCATCTTGCTGCTTGCTCACCAGCATCCTTCTTTCTTGCCATCCTGGCACAAGAGGTGCCCTGGGTCTGGATCTCAAATGATCAGACCCTCAGAGGATCAGCAGTGTTCCAGACTGCAGGCATCACACTTGTGCTCAGCCCAGGGCAAAGTAGAAAGGACAAGGGGGTCCTTGGCTTCCCACAGCAGAAGACCTAGGAGTCTGCAACAGCACAGCAGGACAACTTGTCTGAAGAGGTGTTTGCCCTAAATCTCATAGCTGGTCTGCGTTTTGTAGTGCTCTGCAGCCAGCAGAAGGGCAGAAATGAAGCAATACTTTAAGCTTCGGCATTTGCCCAGATGTTGCTGTGTTGGGTCCTGTGCTGGGTCCCAGGCAAAACTGCCAATGGTCCCTTTTAGACCCAGAGCTCTCCACATGCATCGTGAGTCCAAGCTTCTCCTAGGGAAGCTCTATTCTGATATCTGCAGACTCCCTGTTCTTTGCAAATGCATCCATTTCCTGGGGACCTCACAAAAATCAACACTGATCTCTCTCCTCCATTTTTCAGACTGATGCTGGGGATCCACTCGTCTGCAACAACAAAGCCTATGGCATCTTCTCCTACAGGCATAACAATTGGCCTGGCTTTTACACACACATTGCTTCTTACCTTCCCTGGGTCAATAGTATCATGAAGTCAGCCTGACTCTACTCTCCCCGCAGCTGCTGCCCTGGAAAACTCATGCTTCAGGGCCCCATGCTCACCTGCTTTTTCTTCTTTTCTCCCTGAGAAGCATCTTCCACTGATCCTCATGGACATGGCAAGGACTTCTTTCTGGCAAAGCCATCCTATGGTAGTGGGGGGCTTGGCACAGAAATCCCACCTCAACAGCATTTGTTTTCTGAGCAAGCTGGGGAGTGCCCAGTTACACAGTGTGTGCTCCCACGCTTTGCTGCTCTGATTTACCCCTTTGTCAAGCTGCTTGTAGCTACAGCTCTAGGAAGGAAGCAGCAGGACAGCCCTGAGTGAGCTGACAGTAGCTGTTGGGATGTCTCCTGCCCTTTGGGGACAGCAGGACAGTTAGACTGTGGGGATCCAAAGAGCAGCCTCCTCACTGCCACTTGCATTTATGACACAAGCCCTGGGGCTAGAGGGTGGCCCCAGCTCTAAGGAGGACACTTTCACCTTCTGCTTCACTATCGTTGCTTTTGTCTCCTATCTCTGCTGCTGCCTCTTTTCTCCCTTCTTGCTGTAGCTTCAGCACTGTAAGAATACATAAAACCAATAAATTACATCTGCATTTGAGAGCCTTTTTCCTTCCATGATTTGGATTTCTCTCAGCTGCTGGCTCCAGTCCTGAACAGCTCAGAAGAAAAAAGACACTGCTCAACAAGCTGAGTCCCAAGCTGCGATTCTTCCCACCCACATCCACAATCCTGCCAGAATGGAGGGTCAGCCAGAGGCGGGGGCTTGATGTTTTCCCCTTTGAGCAGGCAGTACCTGGGACCAGCATGGCTTTGACAGGGACCACTGCCTCAGAGCCCCCCCAAACTACGCTGCCATCTCTCTGCAGGTTACCAGATACTGAGTTACTAAATGTAATCCCAAATGCACTCAGCCTGCCAAGAGCAAGTGAGAAGGAGCCTCACCAAGCCACCTCTTGAGCAGAGGACAGCAAGAGCACCAGTGCCAGCTGGAATTCAGCTACTTGGAATTTAAGATGCAGGCAGCCTTTCAAATCAGAGAGAGTGCAGAGGGGCAAATGCTCTGCTTCCTGGTAACCACAGCACCTGCCCAGCCCAAGCAAAAGCAGAGGATACCATGGTAGGTGCTGCCTTATTTCTCACTGGGGATGGGAGAGGCAGCCAAGAGAGACAGACTAAGAACAAGAGGCCTTACAGAGAAGAAAGAGGCAGGGAGCAGGACAGTTGTTTTGGAAAAGGGGAATCCCATGTGCCTGCCATGCTCAAAGGGCTGACTTCTTTACAGGAGCTTCACCCTAATGTCCCATTCTGCACTGAGAAGTGGTGTTCCTTGTGCCAGCTGCAGGCATTTGGCTCTGCAGCACATCCTGAACAGCAGGAA